ATCGCAGATGCGTCCCATCATAGGCTGGCCAACCATCGCAGAAGCGGAGGAAGGACCGCACCTGCAAAAGCGCAGGTGCGAAGGCAGGCATCGCCGGAGCGGGCAGTGTCGCAGATGTGCGTCATTTGTCGTTGATGCGTGGCCGCAGGTGCGATTACCTGGGCGCAGAAGCGAGATGAGTTAGCCTGGCTTTGGTCCGCACTTGCGCGAGTTTGTCCGCAGAAGCGGAATCACAGGTTCGCTAATTGAACTGCAGGTGCGAAAATCGCTGAAGGGCAGTGATGTTTTAAATCGGGGTTTGAGAACTTTTGCTCACTTCTTACTCTTCTTGGGGGCGATTTTGGAGCTGGTTAGAGAGGGGATTTCCATCAACTAGTTGAGGTAAGTAATTCCTATCAAATGTGAGTTAAATACATGGTTTATGGGTAGGTTATAACATGTAAATTAGTGAAAATTATGGGTTTAGATAAAAACCTAGATTTTTGATAAAAATGAGATTTAACCACGAAATTCGTTATTAAATTTAGTAAAAACCATATATTTATGTTCCTAAGGTTATGGGTAACAACTTTCTTTAAACATTTTCGGAATTCGGGTACGCGAGCCCGGGGGTGAATTTTAGGAATCTTGCATTTTAGATTGGGTAATCACTTAAATGGTAGAATTATGAACTTTTGAGCATATATTGATTAGTTTATGTAATGTTTGACTAGCTTCGAGTCGTTTGGTGTCAAAATTGGAGGTTTGAGCGCGTTCTTGAATTGGGAAGTAGACTTTGAGGTGAGGTAAGTCTCCTTTCTAACCTTGCAAGAGGGAATTAACCCCATAGGTGAATTAAATAAATATTTGTACCTAATTGTGAGGGCTACATACGTACGAGGTGACGAGAGTCCGTATGTAGCCACTATTATGCTATTGTCCGGGTAGTTTAGGACCCGTATCATGCTACACTTGGAATATTTGTGCCCTTACTTGCTAATATAATCACTTAGTCATGATAAAAATTGATAAAAGAATTTTATGAGGTTGAATACACTTACTTAAAGGTTTGTATGAGATACTTGACTGTAAATGAGAAACTTGTGTTTTCTTGAAAATAATTGTTATTTGTGGATCGGGTCGAGCGCCTCGGTAGTAAATAGATGCATCTATGGTTCGCGTCGTTCGATCCTCCGGCAGTGCACAGTTTAAATATTTTATTGGATCAGGCCGTACGACCTCGACATAATTGCGCATGCTAATTATTTAGAAATTCTCCATGATTTATTCTGCTTAAATACCTTGAAATGTAAGTTGCTGAAATGTGAGTTGCAAAATAGTATTACTGAAGTTTATGTTATAATTATGAAAGAAGGACTTATCTCTTCCTGTTGTTGAACTGACAGTATCATTCATAATATCCATGCTTAGCATAGTACTTTAATTATATTATTATTGGTCTAGTAAGTGTCAAGTCGACCCCTCGTCACTATTTCTTCGAGGTTAGGCGAGATACTTAGTGGGTACATATTGTTTATGTACTCATACTATACTTCTGTATGTAATTGTACAGGATCTGAGGCTGGTGTATCTAGTTACCCGCCCGGCACACATACTTGATCTTGGACCGAGGCTTCACAGTGAGCTGCCCCTTCTGAGCCGTTCAGCAGCATGCCAGAGTTTCTTTTTTGTTTTTATCTGTCTATTCTGTTTCAGACAGTAGGATAGTCATCTTTTGTACATTCTACTAGTTGCCCACATACTTGTGACACCAGATCTTGGCACGTATTAATAGAATTTGATTTTTGGGTTGCAATTCAATAGTTATAATTGCTTTTAGATGTTTTCGTTTGTTTGCCTTAAAAATTCTTTATTTACCAAATATTTTAAATTAAGTAAAGCTAAATAGGAAATCACTAAGTTGTTCACTATTGGCTTGTCCAGCAACGATGCTGGATGCCATCACGGCCTAACATGGAGTTGGGCCGTGACATCACATTTGGATATAAAAATTAGTGGACGACTCCTTTTTGAGTCAAACACTAGCACTTAAATTTCTTTTCTTGGTCTTCCACTTGAGCTTTTTCTCCCAATCTTTATGATATACTCCATATAATAATCAGAATCAATTTTTTTCTTGAATGAAACTGCGCAAAATTGACTTTTACAATAGTTGTGGTTATTACCTGTATCATGCCCCATATTATAAGTTGGAAAATTTCTCGAAAACGAGTAGCTATCAAACTACCAGCCTCACACCCACCTTGCCACATTGCCATCCTTGCTTATATAATCTTATTAGGAATTTATATTGGTTGGGTTGGTTTGGATTTTTCAATTACCAAATTAAATTAATGGTGTCGGATTTTTAAATCTGTAAATCAAATCAAACCAAACCAATAACGTCGGGTTTTTCAATCTCTATTTTTCTCAGATTTTTGATTTTTTTTGGTTTTTGAATTTTTTCCTATAAAGTCTTCATAGCACAAAATATATAACATGTGCTCCAAATATATCTTTAGTTCTAATAAGATACAACTACATAATGTATTTTCCAAGAAAGAAACACAATAATATGAGATAAGTCATAACATTATACTAAAATATTCAATAACAAAGATAATAAAATTGCATAAAGCAAATATTGCTAATTAATTAGCCATAATAAAAATTAACGTAATATAAAAATACTTTATATGTCATGCTAAAATAAGTATAGCATAAGAACTACATTATTCTTTACATAACTAAGCACTAAAGAAGAAATAAACTAAGTTATGCATTTCCATCATAAACCAATATAAAATTAAAATATATATATCCAATACTATTGCCATTCCTAGTGTTGAATTAATTTTTTTTTTTTAGCATTGGTATTGATTTGAACTTTGTTTGAGTTACTACATTCATGAGTTATAAAATTTATTTACCATTCAAGAATGTTAAGTCCAAACTTGAAATTAATACGTTAAAAGATAAAACTGTGAAAAAAATTAAGAAATACTTATAAATTACATTACAATAAATATTTATATGTATAAAATACTTATAAAAATTGTATAAATGTACTATGAGGTTGGTTTGGTTTCGGTTTGACCTTTTTTAGTTAAAACCAAATCAAACCAATTATGGTTGAATTTTGTTTCCCAATACCAAACCACAATTAGATTTTTTTTTTCCGATTTGACTCAAATTATCGGTTTGGTGCGGTTTATCGATTTTCTCTATACACCCCTAAATCTCATCGTGATTCTAAACTACAATAGAATAAGGGGAATCTTACATAAATATCTCAAATAAGTTCCAACTTACCAACCTCTAGCCATTATTATAGACTAACCAAAACTAGCCAAGCATATATAAAAATTGAATACCCAAATAAATAAGATTCTTTCTCTCCAAGAATCACATGCAAAGGTCTCCTTCCATATTTTTAAGCGTGATCAGCAATATTAGAAGCAAGACAGAAAAAAAATTTTATGGATGAGGTAGCGAAGAAGGTGATGATATATATAAGATTACAAAAATCTAAGCAAAGAATGACATTTTTCAATGGGTATGGTTGAAATTCACTGAAACCATATAGTAGAGTCAATATACAAATTTTGAGGAAGACTGGAGGTGATTTGGACTGATTTTGTATCAAAATTCATAATTAAAATCGAGTTCAAAAAATTCTTCTTGCGACACATGTATCATATANATAATTAAAATCGAGTTCAAAAAATTCTTCTGCGACATATGTATCACACACAGAGGTATACATGTGATACATATTTGATATAAATATGATACATATGTGATACACAAATGATACATATTATGATACATATCTTCTTCTTTTTTTTTTTTCATGTTTCATCTTCTACTTCGAATTTTCAATTCAAACCAACTCAAAGAATTGCCAAATCATCCCAAAACTGAGATTTAAACTCCTTAAGATGTACCAAATCTATTCTAATAACACACACTCAAAAGAAAGCAAAGATTTATCCTTTTTTGGCTACAAATAGCTAATTGGCTAATATTGGTAACATTTGGCTAATATTAATAATATTTAAATAATTGGCCAATTTTTGTAATAAGCTAATTATAAATGGACATAGGTGGTAGTTTTCCTAGAATACGTGCTAATGGTATTATCTTGAGAGTATAAATATCTTTTTACATTATTAGACTACCTAAAAATTAAAGTAACTTGAATGTAAACCTCTCCGGATTATGTCTTAGAAAAAGTGGATAATAAACATATGACAATTAAGTATAAACTATGCTAATCATGTAAGAAAATTCTCTATATTAGCTAGTACTATGTAGTACTGTAATTTAATAGATTTAGCATTACTTTTCACCTCACAGTTCTAGGGAAAAATGAAAGCTAGACTTGGTTGTCTTGCACAAGTCTTTGGGCGGATTAGAGGAATTTTTGCCACCATATTTATATTTATGATTGAAACGTGCTAAGATTTGGTTGATTTGGTCGTCTTCCGTTCATTAGAGGCTGAGACAGAGCTAGGATTTTAGCTTTATGAATTTTGGATTTTAGATTTTGGATTTTAGAATTTAGAATGATAACTTCAAGTGTTAATAATTGAGTTCTACATTTAATATTTGTACATATTCAATGAAATTTTTAACACAAAATATATTGTTTGAGCAAAAACGAATAGCTCGTCTTTTGCCTCTGTACCTAATTAGAGGAAGAATTTTGATCACCATCATTAGTCTTCGGAGCTTGTTAAAGTAATTGCGTTGATAATTGATATGGAAAAAAGGGTTACAATATTATGTTAAATATTAACAGTTCACATTCTTAATTGTGTCTTGTAGCTCCAATAGGGTGGTATTCGTCTTGATATGACAATAATGAATGAAGAAAAGTTTTCCCTTCTTCCATAAAAGAGATTGAATGAAAAGTCTCATAAAAAGATATTTTAATAATCATGAAGACCAAAGAGGAGATCTCTTCGCTATTTAAAGTCACAAAACCACATCGTTAACTAGCCATACCATTTCCTACTATTTAATGCAATTATGGAGAAAGCATTCACCTCTTTTATCTCAACATGCTTGTTGCTTTACTATGTTATGGCTAGTTCAGCCATGACACATACCAACATTACTCCCGATCAGTTAGCTCTTCTTTCTTTGAAATCCCAAATCATTTCAGACCCCTTTCACTTCTTTGATGAAAACTGGTTTTCAACTACTTCTGTTTGCCATTGGGTCGGAGTCACTTGTGGCTCTCGCCACGAGAGAGTTAAGTCCTTGAATATTTCCAACATGGCTCTCACAGGCAAAATTCCCCCTGATTTTGGAAACCTCACTTTTCTTGTTTTTCTTGACTTCAGAAGCAACAATTTCTATGGCAATTTGCCTCAAGAAATGGCACGTTTGCGTAGACTAAAGTTGCTTAATTTAAGTTTCAACAACTTCAGCGGGCAGGTTCCTGCTTGGTTTGGTTTTTTACACCGGCTTCAAGTTCTAAATCTTAGGAATAATAGTTTAACTGGTTCCATCCCCTCTTCATTTTCTAATATTTCCAAACTCGAAACCTGGAATTTGGATTTCAATTTCTTAGATGGTCATATCCCAAAAGAGATTGGAAATCTTGAAAACCTGAGATACTTAAATTTGTTTGGAAACAAACTCACAGGTTCTATCCCTGTGTCTCTCTCGAATGCCTCAATGTTGGAGACTTTAAAACTCTCTCAAAATTTCCTTCAAGGAAACATCCCAGATAGGATCGGCAATCTTTACAACCTGAATGGGTTGTCCATAGAAGATAATCAGCTTACAGGTTCTATACCATTTTCAGTTTTCAACATTTCTAAACTTGAAGTGATTGCATTTACAAACAATAGCTTATCAGGAAACCTTCCGAATGGTTTGTGCAATGGTCTTCCATTACTCAAAGAACTTCATTTATCTTTGAACAAGCTTCGTGGTCATTTGCCTACAAGCTTGTCAAATTGCTCAGAACTTCAAATATTGTCTTTATCATATAATGAGTTTGATGGACCAATACATAGTGAAATTGGAAGATTGAGTAACTTGCAGACATTGTATCTCTCAAAAAACTATTTCAGTGGTATAATCTCTCATCTAACCATTTCATACATTATTATCTTATGAATGCTAGTAGTGTTGTATCTGATTACTTCCATACAAAAAAAAATTATTGCACATGAATTGCAGGGATAATTCCACAGGGAATCGGAAATCTTGTTAATTTGTTGGAGTTAGGCATTTCGAAAAATCAGATTACATATCCAATATGTCCTCGTTGCAACATATCTCTCTAGGGATTAACAATCTCAATGGATCCTTATCACAAGAGATTGGCAACTTAACCAAGATGCAGTTTCTATATCTTAGTCATAATATGTTTACTGGTACGTATTCAAAGTGATTTTGAAAAAAATACAACCTAAACTAGATTATACCAACTCTTTAGTCACAATTCTTCTTTCTTCATGTGTTGCCAGGTGAAATACCCAATGAGATAAGCAATCTCGTTGACTTGGAGTTATTTGATATTGCGTTTAATAGTTTTAGTGGTTCACTTGCAATGGAGATCTTCAACATATCAGGGATGAGAACGGTTAGTCTTTCAGCCAACAATCTATCAGGAACTCTACCATCAAACATAGGTTCTATCTTACCCAATATTGAAAGTCTTTATCTAAATGGTTTGACCAATCTTGTTGGGACTATACCTCATTCAATCTCCAATTGTTCAAAACTTACTATTTTAGGACTTGCTAGCAACAAACTCTCTGGCTTGATTCCCAGCTCTCTTGGATATTTGACTCATCTGCAGAAACTAAACTTGGCAGGAAACAATTTAAAGAGCGACTCATCGTTAAGCTTCTTGACTTCCTTAACAAACTGTAGAGATTTAACACATCTTTATCTAATTTCGAATCCTCTAAATGGCATGCTTCCACTTTCCATAGGTAACCTTTCCACATCACTTACAAGAGTTTTTGCCAATGATTGCAAAATTAAAGGACAAATTCCAAATGAAATTGGGAACTTAACCGCCTTACTAGACATTAATTTTTCTGGAAACAACTTGGTTGGATCGATTCCCGCATCAATTGGAAACCTGAGAAACCTTCAAGGCTTGTTATTGAGTAACAACAAACTTGCAAGAATTATTGAAGATTATCTATGTTAATTGCAGCATTTGGATGCTATTTACTTGGGTCAAAATCAACTTTCAGGATCACTTCCTAATTGTTTAGGTAACGTTACTTCCCTTAGGGAGATACATCTGGGTTATAACAGATTCAGTTCCAATATACCAACAAGCTTAGGGAACCTTAAATAACTAATAATTCTTGACTTATCATCAAACAACATGGGTGGTTCTTTACCTCCAGAAGTCGAAAATCTAAAGGCCGCTACAAAGATGGATCTGTCAATGAATCAATTTTCAAATAGCATTCCTAGAGAAATCGGAGGCTTGCAAAATTTGGTGAACCTTTCTTTGAGACACAACAAGTTGCAGGGATCTATACCTGACTCAATGAGCAACATGGTAGGTTTAGAAATCCTAGATCTTTCTCATAATAATATATCAGGAACCATTCCCAGGTCTTTTGAGAAACTTCAATACCTGAAGTATTTCAACGTCTCTTACAACAAGTTGTATGGTGAAATCTCCTCTGGGGGTCCTTTTAAGAACCTCTCAAGTCAGTTTTTTCTCTTCAATGAAGCATTATGTGGTTCTCCGAGATTTAGTGTCTCACCATGCCCCATTTCATCCAAGCATAGATCAAATAGGAAAAAAATACTTTTATTTCTTCTACTGGGAATTGCTCTATCATTTGTTCCTATCACCTTTGTGCTTGTATGGATAAGGTATAAGAAAGGTAAAAGAGCTCCTCAACAAACTGATTCATCGTCTATTAAAACAAGAGAAAGAATTTCATATTATGAACTGCTCCAAGCAACTGACGCGCTTAGCGAAAGCAACCTGATTGGTTCTGGGAGTTTTGGCTCTGTCTATAAAGGCATGCTCAGAAGTAGGACTCCTATTGCAGTTAAGGTGTTCAATCTTCAATTGGAAGCGGCATTCAAGAGTTTTGATACAGAATGTGAAATTTTGTGCAACCTCCGCCATAGGAATCTCACAAAAGCCATCACTAGTTGTTCCAACCTTGATTTTAAGGCTTTAGTACTAGAGTACATGCCCAATGGAAGCCTCGAAAAGTGGTTGTATTCACACAACTACTTCTTAGACATCATGCAGAGACTGAATATAATGATAGACGTGGCATGTGCATTGGAATATCTCCACCATGGGTGCTCATCGCCTGTGATTCACTGTGATCTGAAGCCTAGTAACGTCTTGCTGGATGACAATATGGTAGCCCACCTAAGCGACTTTGGTATTTCAAAACTGCTTGGTGAAGATGAGAGTGATTTATACACTAAAACCTTAGCAACATTGGGTTATATTGCACCGGGTATGTCTCTTTGTTTTGCTTTGAACATTGATTTTCCTTTTTACCACAAATAAATATTACATTTTTAAAATTGTTTGATTGTGTAGAGTATGGACTGGATGGACTGGTGTCAATAAAATCTGATGTCTATAGTTACGGGATCATGTTGATGGAAACGTTTACAAGGAGAAAGCCTAATGATGAAATGTTCGAGGGAGATCTTAGCTTGAAGCAATGGGTGAGTTATTCACTTCCAGAGGCAATAGTGCATGTAATAGATGCCAACTTAGTAACAACACAGGATAATCACTTAAGCAAGAAGCTAGATTGTGTGGCATCGATCATGAAAGTGGCACTAGATTGCGGTGCTGAATCTGCTGCAAGAAGGATCGACATGACAGATGTTGTAGGGATGCTAAAGAAGATCAAGATTCAACTTCATGCATGTTGATCATATTCTTGGAAACTCTTGTTCCAAATCACTCGTTTGTTGCAAATGTTTGCTAAATTTTGGGGTTCATGTAAGAATTTTCTTTTTATTTTAGCACTTGTATTGACATGATTCTGCTTTAGCTTCAAATATGCTAGTATTAATGAGTATTATTTCCTATTAAATATAATAACATACGCCAATAAGATTTATGGTGTAAGAAAACTGCTCATTTTTGGTGTCTGGAGATATTTTGCAGGACCTTTGGGCATTTCAATAGATGTACATTCTATTAGGGTGATGTTACAAAAAATGGAACATAGATAAGAATTCTGTGCAGAAAATAGTGTATCATGCTGTCCCTATTTTCATTTGTTGGGAACTTTGGGAAGTTAGACGTTGTGCTAGATATGGTAAGACTACTATGTGAATACTAGTAGTAGCACAACTTTTACAATCGATAAAGCAAAACTTTAGAGAAAAACATATTGGTGTATTGTTGAAACATAATGAGTTTTTAAAATTGTTTTTTTTCTTTTGGTTTCTTACTCGTGTTTAGTATCCACTTTGGGGCGCGACTAATTCGAATTCGCATTGGGAAGTCCCAATATAAATGTTTGACATGGAAAAGATATTTACACTATACAATTGAAAAATAATTAATAAAAATTACCAACGAGTTATTAGCAGAAATATAACAGCAAGACAACAAACAAATTAATGGCAATAGCAAAAAAACAAAAACCATATCACAGAGCTTACATGGTATAATTGAAAAATCAACATCCTTACTTCATTATGTAGGGCTAATAATTTCACTCATGTCATATTGGAGATAGACTCACTATTGGTAGTTAACTTGTTGGAGAACAATACTAATCCTCCTTGGAAAATGCGAGATGAAATTAGGAAGATGAAAAATATTATTCATGAATGTCATTACAGAGTAATGCACTGTTATAGAGAAGGTAACGAAGTGGCAGATGTACTTGCCAAGCATGGAGATTCAATGTTGGAACTCTCTTTAGCATCTATTCCTACAATGTACTATGAGGTTCAAGAGATGCCTAGAGAAGCAAGAGGAGCATATAGAATGGACAAGATGCAAATACCTAACTTTAAAATCTAACAAAGTAATAGGAAACATGCAGTTTGCAATTTAAGTAAAGAGCAAGTGCAAGAAAATGCCAGAAATACTCAAGTCTCCATTTCAGGTGGATTCACTCATCCCTCCAGACTTTAACAGTTGCAAAAGCTACAAAAATGTAGCAGGACACAACCTCTCGCATCAGTTTGGTGTAACTAATCCTCTAACAACACCACAGTATTATAGGAGCACAGAAGAAGTATCACTTTCTCCCACAAACCATAGGATCAGCTCAAACAATGTCTATGATGTACATTGACTTGTATTTTGTAGATGTTTGGAGGGAGATTGAATACTTAATTTATCTCACGCTTTTTTGCACAGGCTAGTGCTGTAATGGTAGTCCTAGTCTAGAATATCTAAGAGTTTGGAGATGTCCAACTCTCTGTTTTAGGAAGTTAAGAGGTAAGGTTATATGTCCCCATCCTTTATACTATTTTGGATGTTAATATACATGGTAGGGGTCGGCCAAACTCCCCGGTGCAGGAGGTGAAAGCCTGGGTGGATGAATTTTTTTTAAAAAATAAAAATAAAAACCTCCTTACTTCAAGGTTTTCTGAACAAACAATTAAGAATAGAAATATATTATTATTTAGCCTCCTCAGTTTCCTTCCCAAGAGAGAAACTTTACCCCCACAACCTTATTTTTTTATATTTTCTTGAGTAGATATTCGTTCATAATTACTTCCTTTTTCAAGACGAAATTATTTCCTTCTAGTCAGTAGGATAAGAAGTCCAGATACTCACCGCGTAGACTTAATGGTTGATCTTCTTAATTTTGAACACCTATAGAAGATTCCCCTCTCACGATTCCCTTTTATTATTGAATTTATACATGTTTAATCTAGTCAAATCAATTAAATTTGTATTTTAGGGCACCGAACAATCGATTTGATACACTTTATCATATATAAATGGCAAGAAATAATGAAAACAACGAATAAGGAAATCAAATATAAAGTAAAAGGGCAGAGAATTCTTATTGATCAAGATAGCCTATTTCTTGTATCTTGTTTTGTTTGACTAGCCATAAATACAATGCTCTGATTAGAGGGTAAGAGATCGATTTCTTAGATGGGATACAATGTGGAGGAATAGAAAATTTGAATAGTAAAACTATCTGTAACTGCACCTCCCCTTAATGTCTCTCCAGCCCGTTATCCCCATTAATTGTGCTTCGAACATTACGATAAGAATCTGTATCGTGGAATTATCAAATCTCGCTTTATTCGGGATTGACTGATTCTCCACTTTTCTACACTTATTATGTATCTTCTCGAGAAATATTCTGTGCTGCTCATAAATGATTATGGTACAAATGATACCGGTATTGACGATTATTGTACCAATGATACTGGTGCTAAATAACTCTCAACTAAATTCCGAGCTCATCTTTTATGTGATCTTCTAATATTCTTGATACGTATCGAGTTTCAGTTCGTCCACATGAAGAGTCTATTTTTTTACCATTACAATACAATCATTAGAACATTAATAAGTTGGTCAATGAAATGAGTAAACATCATAGAAAATTAGGTTCAAATCCTAACAAAAGAAGGTTTCTTCTCATCCATTGAAATTTTGGTCTCGATATAACTAGTGTATATAATGTCCTAGTAGATATAACACTACTTTTCACCACACAATTATAGAGAAAACGAAATAAAGATTTCTCACGATCCCAAATTTTTCTCTGTAGGATATCGTGACGGTACCTAGTCTCTAAGACTAGGTAAGTCTAACATCATTCGGGAATAACTGATATAATAATTAAAGTCTCAAACTTCAACAACTAATATAAAGAAAATATCCACAACTCAGTAGATATATAATAGCCCAAAACCCGGCGAAATACAAGTCACACGCTCTATGAAGTGATACTGAATATCTCTATACGCCAGTGTCCAATAAAGGATAAGGAAATAAAATAGTCTAGGTAGAGGGGGACTCCGAGGCCTGCGGACGCCGGCAGGTATACCTTGAATTCTTCGAAACTGACCTCTCGTTAGTGCCTGGTCTGATAGAACATACCTGGATCTGTACAAAAAGACGTACAGAAGTGTAGTATGAGTACACTACAACGGTACCTAGTAAGTGCCAAGCCTAACCTCGGTAGCAATAGAGATGAGACAATTAAAGAAGTGCACCGAGAACAACTACACTGAACTAAGGCAAATAATGCAACATAGAGAAAACATGGAATGACATGCTAAGGAAAACAAAACAACCAAATACAAGTGCAACAATAGAGAAATACCAACAAGAATCACTACCGAGGTACCACGTCGTAGTCTCAAATCACAAGCATGATTTACAATCTTTCCTTATATCACCGCGGGAGCCTTGCATTTAGTTTTGAAAATTATTTTTTCCGAAATAGCATCCCGCATTTTAGCCCACCTTATCACACCTCATGACTTCTAGTAGTTTTCCTACTAGCCACGCGTATCAAGCCCACCTTATCTCACTGCATGTATTTCAACCCCAAAACCTTATACCACTGTATGCGTATTAATATCACAAAGTATCACAAATCGCACCTCAAGTGCCCAATATCACAATATTGCCAAGAAACCAACAACAATAGAATTTTCACAATAAGTAGCCCATAACTCAACCACAATGTGCACAAGAATATCAACAATGACAACCGAAAATGTATACCTTAACAAAAATAGTATTTCACAACTTAACACTTTGTCTCGATGTGAATCACGATCTTTATAACTCAATACCAATTTAAACAACGAGATATCCCAAGAATAACAACTTCAAGTAAAGAGTTCAATGGTTAAATAATGAATATGGAACAAAGGAAACAAGAGCTTCAACTAAACATGTAGAACAATTAGCAAATAAGAGATAAAACAAGTAGAACATATGAAAATATACTGATGATGATGAGTATAACGTGTTAAAATAACTCAACTAAGGCATGAAAGGAATCCACATAGTTAAAACCGATAATTTTCACATTTATCCCGTGTACACACTCGTCACCTTGCGTACACGGCTTCCACACATCACAATTATCACAACCAACACTAATCCTAAGGGGGTAATTCCCCTCACAAGGTTAGGCAAGACACTTACCTCAAAACAGGCCAACTCAATCCACTAGTAGGCCTTTCCCTCGATTATCCAACTCTGAACGACTCGAATCTAGCCAAAACAACTTCATACCATAAATATAAACTATAGGAAACTAATTCGAATAATAAAGTTATGATGTTTGCAAAGAAATAAAAAGTCAACTCAAAAAGTCAACCCGGGCTCGCATCTCGGAACCCGACCAAAATTATAAAATACGAACACCCATTTGATAACGAGTCCAACCATATAAGAATTATCCAAATCCGACCTCAAATCACCTTCCAAAACTCAAAATATTAGTCTAGGAAAGTTTCACAAATTTTCCAACTCAAACCACTAATTAAATGATGAAATTTATAATAGATTCGTGAAATATAGTCTAATCGGGGTTAGAATTACTTACCCTAACAATTTCCTTGAAAAATCCTCAAAATATCGCCTCATACCGATCTCTCTAAGTCCAAAAATGGATTATGAAATCAAACCCTCGAAATTCCCTAATTTTGCCCAGCGATTTCGCTTTTGCGGGTCTTTAGTTGCACCTGCGAAGTCACACCTGTGGAAAAACCATCGCAGGTGAGATTCCCACTTAACACCAGGGATTCCGCTTCTGCAGACCATAGCTCACACCTGCGAGCCCGCTTCTGCGGAGAATCTATCGCATCTGCGGTTCCTGCCCAACGACCCTTCCCAAATTTCGCTTCTGCGGAAGAGTTGCCCGCACCTGTAGAGGCGCACCTGCGCTCAGGTGTCCGCACCAGTGAGCCCAGCCGTGGGCTCTCCTTTTCTCTTTTGTGCTTCACCTTCCGTACCCGCAATTTCGCACTTGCGATTCCGCACCTACGGTCAATCTCTCGGCAGGTACGATGACACCAGTAGGCCTGTGACT